TATTCCAAAGATCTACGCTGCTACATTGGCGGATTGACGAGCATCCTCCACAGCCTAGACTGGGTTGCGGTAAAGAGACTCAAATTAAGTTACCATAATGGCTATATAGGGCATACGGGGTATATAGGGTTTAGGGTTTAAGTTACCATAGTCGGTAGATATAGTAGTTGATATGGTTTCCCCAACATAATAACTTGAGTTAAGTTCCTTAACAACAGCCCTGCAGAAAGCTGCCCCGAGACTGATACAGCTTGCTGGCGTCCTCAGGCTCAAGCAAAGATTTGAGAATAATGTTCTTTGTGAATATTCTAGACCCCAATATTCACGACATTTCCATAGTATGGCAACTTGCCTGCATTGTATAGATTCCAGTATAGAGCAAGATTTTATCTTCCTTTGGGGTATAGTTTTTGATACACAGAGCATAATCTTATTTGGTTCAACCACCCAAAAAATAATGGCTTGTTTGGCTATTTGTTGAACTTGGAACCTCAAAATGCAGAACGGCAGACTCCGGCTTAGCCCAAGCCCTGAACCTTTACAGTCAAATCAAGGGAAATGTTGGATCTAGGGAGGAAGAAGACAGGGTTTAGGGGCTAGGGTTTTGTATGCTACTTTTCACTCTTTCTACGTCTTGGGGGCCGGGATACTGAAGTTTTCGCTTGTTGCATCTACTGGAACAGTAGCCCCAGGTTATGAACATCTGCCTCACAGCCCCAAACACGGCTAGGGCACAGTGAGGATAGGGTTTAGGGTCAAGGGTTTAGGGTTTACAGAACACTGTTGGCAGTTCGGACGCTGAACCCGCAGCCTAGAATCTATCATGTCCTTCATTGGAGAAGATTAGATAGGAGGCCGCCAAATGCCAAAATCCTAAACCAAACTCCCTAAACCCTAAACCCTAGTTCCTCAACCCTACAACCGCCACGCCGTGCAGTATTAGATATATCTACCCTACAGCTTGATCCCCGGCCCTAAACGCTACGTCCTAGATGGGGGTCTCCCAGCACTAGGGGTACCTTCAAAGGCGGGGTATAGGGGTATACATAGGGGTATATAGAGGGATATAGAGGGTGTAGGGCTTGGGTTTCCTGGACTTAGGGGTACTTTTTTGGGGGTCCTTATAATGAGGATTCTAGTATTTTGGGGTCTACATTGGGGTCCCTTTTCTTTGGGAAACTATCATATCTCCGTTAGAGAATCCTTATAGAACCCATGATAGTAGTTTCCGTTTTCTTTTCCATTACCTCCTATATAAACCCTATATTAGGGTCTCCCCTTACTTTTGGGAAATTACCAACTGGAGCAGTCTCCCAATGTACAAAGTCTCTGAAGCAACCGGCGGAATGACGGACCAGATGTCTGGATTTCGTTCGCACCGGGGCCTAGCTACCTGGATCATTGTTGGCTGAAGGGTTTGGCGTTTAAACCCTAAACCCTAAACCCTTAAACCCTAAATCCTAAACCCTAAACCCTAAACTTTAAGGGGCTTACGCCCTGGTGCGCCAGCGCCGCATTTTGTGGGCTTGCCAGCAACGGTAGGTTTAAGTAAATTGAACCTTGGGCCAATTCACTTAAAGTGTTTTTTCTAGCCTTCTGCCTTCTGGGCCTTTTCTAGGTTTTTGTGTGTTTTCTGGGTTCCAGGCCTGTTCTAGGGTTCTGGGCCTCTTCTGGGCTCCTGGGCTTCTTCCACAGCTTTCTGGCCTTATCCTCGCCTTTTCTGGGCTTCTGGCCCTTTTCTGGGCCCCGGGCCCTTTCTTGAACTTCTAGGCTTCTGCACCTCTTGCGGCCCTCGGCCTCTTGAAATGCATTTAAAAGATGAGGGTTCCGTACAATGTAAAATGCATTTAAAAGCGTGATCACTGCGCAAAGTGGAAGACTCATTTAAAAGTGCAAGCCCCCATTTTTGAGCCTCTTCTGCGAGTTTTCTGGGCCGGGCCTCTTCTGGGCCTTTTCTGGGCCTGTGTATCTTTTTAAAGCTTCTGCGCCATCCTTCTCCTTTTGGAAGATTGAGAAAGGGATCCTTCTCCTTTTGGAAAATTGAGAAAGGGAGCCCCGTGGATTGGGGCTTAGGGCCGCCAGAAGACTAAAAAAGGGAGCCCCGTGGATTGGGGCGGGTTTTGACAACCTTGAAAAAACGAACGCGGCCGTTTGAAATTCAACACACGCATCCAGAGAAAATGACAAATTCCATCTTGTGATTAGGGCAGCCCCCTTAAGAGCGGGAGTTGACCTGGGCGCCGAGCTGCGCTGGCGGACCCTAAATCCTAAACCCTAAACCCTAAACCCTAAAGCGCAAGGGTTTGGCGTTTAGGGTTTGAGGTCCCAGATGTAGAGCTGAAAGGTGATGATGATCACTTGGGATCCGGATTCGGAGTTTTGACTTGCGCTTGACTGGGTCCTTGCTTGATATAACTTGTAAGTTCCAGTACATTCAAATTCGACCGGGCATGTAGACTACGAATTCTAATGTTAGTCCAAGAAACCAGTTCGGATGGAGTCACGGACCTCTGCCCAGTAGTGGTGTTACCAATACCCATATGTATGGGCTCTAACTAAATTACCTTCACTGTTGGTGGGTACTACGAGTGGGTTGGGGGCCGAATGTGATGCCACCCCTAAATTCCGTAAATCCTAGACCGAAGCCAATGGCCTAACTTTTACCGGTTCAATCTGAAACTCATCTAGGTTCTGGTGTATAGATTGTACTGCCAGGCGCCCGTTCAGGGCTTAAGGGGGTTTAGAGTTTAGACTTTGCAGGCAGGCATATGTAGGGCATCACAAGGTTCCAGGGTCATCTCAGCCTTTAACTCGTGACTGTTTTGCCCAGGCTTGTCAGGCTTTACCATAATGACTAGTTTGTAAGCTTTCCCTTTGGTGGACCCCCCACCCAGTAATAGTGACTATAAAGGATAATGGTGATTATATTAGGGCCCTCTCATCTTCCTGTTATACCACTACTACAGGGTGGGGGGGTTCCTTCTAAGCTTTCCCTGTGTAATCTGCAAAGGGGCATTTGTGAGCTATTTTGAAGTAAGCGTGCTCATCGCCTCCTCTAACTACTTGCCCTCCGCTTCCTTACAGAACATATTCCCATTAAGCATCTACCCATACATATTATACATATTCTGAGTTGCTGTCAAGGAACTTAAACTAAGCTACATAATTGGGTGTATATATACATATAGTAAATAATAGGGTTTCCCCAATATATCTATATATATATAGAGTAACTTGAATTAAGTTCCTTAACAGCAGCCCAGTATTGTTGTGGAGCATTTCTTCTTAGGCGGGCCTAAGGGCTTGTTATCAGAGGGGTTTCCTCCTGCCCCTTGCGTTCCAGGGTGATTCGCCTAGTGCTAGTGTGAAAGGGCCCTTTCAAAGAGAATTGCCATTTTTGAGAAAGTCACGCTACGTCTCCGACTTGAAAGGTCCTTGCAGTTATGCCGACGTTAGGGGTAAAAGTTCTCACACCCAAGCCATTCAATCCTGCATCCACCCATGGACCCCCTATGAGCCCCACACAAAAGGTAAAAGGTTTAAGGTTTGGGGTTCAGGTTCTTGCATATGATGCGGGCTTCTATGGCAAGACGACACCGCGGCTGCTAACCTATATCCCTGAGAAGATCTGGACTTTGTCTGCGCCAATCTTGGTGACTGGGCTGCATCAACCCCCTCCACTAGTAAACCCTACACAGCGAAGCACCACGAACTCCTAAGAAACTTGAGCCCTGAATCCTAAACCTTAAAAGCCTTAAACTTGAAGCCCTGAAGCTTAAGGTCAGAGATCTCACAGTTTGCAGCTCGTTGACGAATTTCCTCCCTCATCTTGCTGCCCTGCTCTACACCCTCTTTCTCATGATCGTCCTATGTGTCTGGACTTATGGTTAGGGGTTTAGGTCTTACGACTTAGGATTTAGGGGTTAAGGTTGAGGGTTTAGGGATCAGAAGGCTTAGCACTTGAGGATTTCCAACTGTGCGGAGGCTTCTCTTCCATACTCGGCAGGCAGATGGTCTACAGTAGTTTCAATACATCTAGAGTCCTGAGGTAAGGAGCGTATGCCACGAGCATTGGGCTCCTTGATTGAGAGATAGGACTTTCTCATCAGAAACGGCGCACAGGGACCAGGGGTATGTAGGGGTGATATGGTAGTTTCACAAAATAGGGGACCCCAGTATAGCCCCAAAATGATAGAATCCTTATTATGGGCGCACCCAAAAGGGCATCTCTGATTTTGGGAAACCCTGATATGATAATGGCAAGATAGCGGAGTCGCTGTTTGATTATTTCTTAGGAAGCTCTAATGTGCTCCGCACAAGGTGAGGCTCCCCCCTTGAGCCTTAGGGTTTAGAGTCATCCTTGCCGGAAGCCCCAAACATATAAAATAGAATAAGAGTTTGTTGGGCTTTTGGTCTGGATTTAGGGTTAAGGGTTTGGGGCTCATTTTTCTGCAAGCCCCCTAAACCCTAACCCCCAAAGTCTGTGCCTTGAACCCTAAAGTCTACAACCTAAACAGGCTTCATCGCATTCCCCGACGGCGAGATGGGGCAGGGTAAAGCTTGCGATGCCGGCAACGTCCAAATGTGCCAGCTGGAGGAAACCATGAAGAACCTACACAGGTTTTGGAACGGTTTTCGGGTTTAGGGTTTTGGGATTTTGGGTGTAGGGTATAGTAGGGTTTCGGGTGTAGGGCCTTAGCCCCCAAACCCCAAATATGGAGGAATGCATCCCTACAGCAGCCCATAGATAATCCCCAGTAAAACATAATTTACATCTGCACGACTTTTTGTCAGACTGTACCTTCCCGAAGCTCTACACTCTTTAGCGGTGTTCCGTTGTTTAATATGATGCAGGGCTTTGGGCTTAGCTCTTTACCCCCAAATCCACAAAGATTTTAGCAACCTAAGGGCCTAAGCCCAAAGCCCAGAGCAAAGAGTCTAGGAACGCTAAGAGTGAGTTCCGATTCCTGGTGGCCTTTGTGCTCGCGGGCTTCGTTGCCATGACGGTCTCAACATGGAATTCCCGGAGGCTGGAATATCTTTAAACCCTGCATCCTAAATCCGAAGCCCTAAGCCGGGTTGCTTTGTTAATAGGGAATGAACTTGGGATTCAACTCCAGGGTTTAGGGCTAGCCCTAAACCACTGACTACCAGGCTGGGTTATGCTGCCCTTTGCGGCAATGTGCGAAATCTCATCGTCCAGCTTGCGACCTTCATTCCGGTGGACAAAACTGGCCAGAAGACCTTGAAAACACGTCGGAAGCTGGGTCGCTATGTGATCTTGGCTTATGAGCTAGCAACTGGATCAATGTTAGGGATCCTTTATAAGTGGCCTCTCTGTTCGCGAACTCTTTTAAGTGGCTCCAGACACATCACCAGGTGGCTCTCGTGAAGGGAGAGCAACTGTACAGTCTTCGCCCAATTTTCTCAAACAAGACCACGTCCTTGTCTGTGCGTCCTTGTCTGTTGAACCCAGACCTTGTCGCTACAGCCCTGCGAACTCACATCCAGCCTCAGGGCCTCAGAACGTTCCTTGAATTGTTTTGCACTTTGCCTCGCCCTGCCAAACTGGTTCAATTTCCAGAGGACTTCCCTCTTGATTACCTTAGACTCCGGTAGCTCGCTGTCACACTTGTAAAGTCAACACCAACCATTTGGCGGGGTGGTTTAATTACTATGGATCCAAGGACGCGACCTTTATACTTTTTGGGGTATGGGGTTCCTTATATTAATGTTAAAAAGGATCCTTTTGTTCTTCCTAGGGGTAATGTGGGCTAACTTAAATTCCTTTTTTTGGACCCTAGGGCCCTAAACCCCGTATTTCCCTATATCTCCCTTTAAAGGAACCTAAGGCAATCCAGAAGGCGAGAGGCAAAATGGATGCGCAAGAGACCTTAGAGTTTCTGGGGAGTTGAGTCCGTTTTTGTGGGTTCTAAGGTTTGTACCCTAAAGCCCTAAGACCTGAACCCTAAGTCTTTAACCCTAACACCTAACACCTGAACCCTAAACCCGAAACCCCTAAACCCTTAAACCTCAACCCTAAACCCTTAACCCTTCTCCTTCATCCCTTAACACTAGGTTACTTGGGGTCCCAGGTTCTTGAGCGCCTCTGGATTGGTTCTATCCGCAGAGTGGAGGGCCATGGTAGCCGGGGATCGACACACCACGGCGGCACGGGAGCACAGTTCGGGGTCAAGGGTTTAGGGATGCAGGGTTATGTTAAGGGGTTTAGGGTTCAGGGTTTAGGGGTTTAGGCTTTAGGGGTTTAGGGTGTCCGGGGTTTAGGGCTTAGGGGTTCAGGGTTTAGGGCCTAGGTTTAGGTTTCAGGGGTTTAGGTTTAGGGGTTTAGGGTTTTAGGTTTCAGGGCTTAGGTTGTTCGGGTTAGGGGTTTAGGTTCAGGAGTCTAAGATTTAGGCTTCAGGGGCTTAGGATTTAGGGGTTTAGGGTTTAGGGCGCAAGGGCGCGCCTCACAGTGAAGGGCCTTGTGGTAGTGTCATTATCTCTACGGCTCTGGCAGCTCGTGTATACAGGTGTTTACCTCTCTTAGAAGGGTTTGTTTTCCAATGCTCCTGCTCTGCGCCTAACCACTGTGCAAGGCGTTTAATTGCCGCACACCCCGGATGGCCATAGTGGTGTTATCAAAGTAGACCAGATATCCTGCATCTATACGTTTATAAACCCCGAGTGTTGAACAGCACTCCGATTAGCAACCAGGTCAATGTTCAGTGGGCATGAGATTTCGGAGGGCACCCCCATGACCAACTATCAAACAATAATCTCAACCCCAAACCCTAGGCCCTAAACAGTTTACCTGTGTATTCTTCAGCCCAAAAATAGCAATAGTAGCCAGCAGGAACAGTTTTTGTGCATCTAAGGAGTGAATAGTAATAGCAATAGCAACAGTAATGGTAATCGTGATAGCAAGATGCAGGGTAAGAGTAAGTCAAGTAAGCCCTAAGCCCTAAAGTCTAAACCCCTAGCCCGGGAACCCTAAGCCCGAAACCGCTAACTCTGAACCCCAAAGCCTTAAACCCTAAACCCTAATCCCTAAACCCTAAACCCTAAACCCTAAGCCCTAAACCCTAAACCCTAAACCTTGAACCCTAAAACCAAAGCCCTAAACCCTAAACCCTCAGGTGATAGCCTGGATTCAGCAGACGTGCGTAACCCTGGAGAAGGAAGGCTGGATCCTCCCACAGGCTTTGACCAAGATTTCAGAATTCTGGATCGTTTAGCGTTTAGGATTTAGGGTTTAGGATTTAGGGTTTGGGGTTTAAGGGTTTAGGGTTAGGCCCTGAACCCTAAACCCTAAAATAGGGTTTAGGGTTTAGCATGCTTTTCGGCAGTTTTTTCCTAGGTGGGTTTTGGGATTTAGTGCCCATTTTCTAGATCTTGTTTGGTTTGGGAATCTAGGGTTTGACGACCTGTACCTAAACCCTAAACCCCAAATAAGCCCAATAATCAACCATTACTTAGAGGGTCAGGGGCACTAAGGAAGTGGGACCAGAAAGGAATAACCGGGGTAGTTATATGATTTCTAGCGGCTAGGAATATGCTTACTAAGTCCCCCTGACCCTCCCCCAAACCGATAACCCTAAATCCTCATAAACCCTTAAGCCTTTAAATCCTTAAACCCTTAAACCCTTAGACCCTTAAATAAACCCTTAAACCCTTAGACCCTTGGCCCTACACCCCAAGAAATACAATTGTCAGGAAGGCATTTAGCCCCAGCATTAGCCCTTGAACCCTGAAGACTTTAGACCCTGCGACCCTAAACCCTAAATACTTCAATCCTAAACCCAAAACCCAACACCCCTACGCCCTAAACCCCAAACCCTATAAGGAAGACATTAGCAGCATGCGGGCCAAAGCCAACGATCTGATGGGATGCCTCGAGCAGGACAGGGGTTGATGAGGGTTTAGGCTTTAGGATTTAGGGTTAAGGGTGGGTTAAGGGTTTAGGGTTTAGGATTTAGGGTTTGGGGTTAGGTTTTGAGGTTAAAGTGTAGGATTTCGGGCTGGGGTTTAGGGGTGTTAAGGTTTTACGGATAGGTGCGTTATACCTTTGCAGTTGTAGTATTCTAGCATACACAAGCTCAAGCAGGCTTGATGGTATCGAAAGTACTAAGATTATGTCTTGTCTTACACATAAGTAGGCCGTGGCTACTGTTCACCATCGCACCACGTTCATTAGTAGGAATTTCCATAACCGTCATTGTCATCACGTTGGAAAACGCAGTGCAGCCGATGTTTGGCTTTGTTGGCCCTCCTTCAGTTGCTATCACTCTCCTTGTGTACAAATAGTCTTGTTTATGACGATGATTCTGATCATGATACTGACTGTTTGTACTTTTGTGGAAGCCGTTCTTACTGATACTAGGTTATGCATTCTTGTTCTTGGCTCCAATGTTATTACCGTGCTGTACGTGTCTTACACTTTTTCTGTGTGGCTGTTATGACCGTACATGTTAATCGTTTGCATTTCTTACTTGAACTATCGTTGCTATGTTTATCCCAAGTGCCCTGAAGCCTAAGATCCAAAACCGAAAGTCCACCTCGGCACCCAGGCTCGCAGGGGGTCTTATGACCACTGCCACCAGATTAACATGGAACCTCTTATAAGAGGAGTTATCTAGGGAGTATAAATGCTGTGTAAGAGGGCTTGGGGTTTAGGGCTGTCTTACGTAGCATTTCCTTCAAACTATAATGGAGTCCCATATGGCTCTTAATCAAAAGGACAGTAGTCTACAAAGGGCCTTCTGTTGGGTTCCACATTAGTTATAGCAGAGGGTATGTAGGGTTTCAAAGGGGGGTGTCTAAGGTATCAATATAGGGTCTCTGCTTAGGCTGCGTGAATCGAAGAGGGGCTCTCCTGATTCCGTTGTGGGAGTCTATATACCATGACAAGGATTTACCCATATGAGGGTTCTTTCCCTAAAGCCCCTAAACCCTAAACCCTGACCCCTAAACCCTAAACCTCCCTAAAACCCTCAACCCTATATATTGGGGCTCCCTGAAGGTCCCCTCTTTACGTAGCGTTTGTGAGGAGGACATGACAACGAGTCTGGATTTCGGATTTTAACGGGTCCTTGGGCCTTGGAGCCTTAGATTCTGGCCTAGGACTTTAGGGTTTACGGTTTGTTAGGGTTCAGGGCTTGTACATTTTGGGTTTTAGGGTTCATGACCTGGGCAGGACAAGCCCTACGCTTATTCCTCGCTGGTGGGAATGCTCGTGAACATCAACCTCCTCATCATGTGCACATGGAAAGGCACTGTGGGCGGCCTATTGAAGATCTTAACATAGCGCTAGCAGCCGAAAGGTACAGCAACAGAGGTCATGGCTAGCTCGAATCCTAAGCGTCTTACTTTCCACTTTGGTTCGCTGAAGCATTTGCAGCAGATGTTCTGGCAGATCATGGTCAATGGTATCCACGGTAGTAGTGAAGTACTCAACAAGGCACATACCCTGAACTCTAAACCCTAAACCTTATATCCCCGCAAGCCCTGAGCCACCTTAAGTAAGGTATCTGGAGCTCTCTGATTACAACCCCAAATTTATGGGGCCATTTATGGGTCCATAGGGCCCATGTCTAAGGACAAAAGACCCAGCATGACCTTAATATGCTAAATCCCCACAATTCCCAAACCCTAAGCATTAAACGCTAAGCCCTAAACCCTCAACCCTGAGCCAAAGCCTAAACCTCAAGCCCTAAACCCTAAATCGTAAAGCCTAGATCCCAAACCCTAAACCCTAAACCCCCAAACTTCTGGGTCCATGGAGAGGCATCGAGTGGGCGATCTGGTTCCGCAGCTTCGGCGGAGCGCTTTTTGAGCAGCCGAAGTGGTAGCCTGGTGCGTTTTTCGTATGGTTTGGGGTTTAGGTTTTAGGGTTTAGGGTTTAGAGGTTTTAGTTTTGAAGGTGCATTTAGGGTTATGAAAGCGTTATATACCGCGTATGTAGGATTATATCGGGGTTATATAGGGGTATATCACCGAGAACATCGGAGTTAGTATAGTTTTGAAGGTGTCTAGGGATTATCTCCATAGGAGCTAGCATGGTCTTGAAGGTGTCTAGGGTGTGTATAGAAGCTACATACTTGGAGAGTCAGGGGGACGTAGTAAGTAGGTTGAGAAAGAGGATAACTGGGGTTATACGATGGGTTTTAGGGATTCTAAGTATACTTACTAAGTCCCCCTGATCCTCCAAGAAGGTGGCCCTAAACCCTAAACCCTAAAGCATATTGTTGGGTTTGAGGCCGCTTACGATGTAGCGGGTGCGGTTTCAGGGTTTAGGGG